GAGCTCCTGTCCAAACAGATTCATGAACTGATCCCGAACGCCCCAACAACAACGCGCATGTAATCTTGAACAAACATCCTGACGTTGAAGTCCTTACTGCCCAAGATCTCTTCCTGATACTTGAAAATAATTGCAAAATTGAAATCGAAAATGTATTCATTCGATTTGACCTGGGAAAATCTTGTGATACTTGTTTCACTTTTTTTTGATTTTCAACATGAAGTTATCAACATTTAGACAAAATAGAAATAGAGATTTTATATTTCAGTTGTCAAATGCATTTCGGATTTTCCACTCACATGAAACATTATTTGAAGTTTTCGAAAATTTATTTGTATTTGACATAAAGATATTAATCGAAAATATCAATATAATAATATTGATTTCGAACATCACACAAATTCATATTTTTTCCTTATAAAGAAAATTTTAAGGTTTAAGGTTTAATATCTTTTCGAATTCAAAGATTCATGCTATAACTCCATTCTAAAATTTAAATTTCAAATAAAATCATGTAAATCTTTTGTGGAAAAAAGAACTAATCAAATACAAAACAATACTTATATGTGGTTGCGCCCCGGCGAGGCCTCCCCCGCCTCTTTTCCCCTGGTTCAATTTATAGACAGTTTTTCTGGAACGAGACATCCTTTCTTCTCTTGCTGTCCCGCTAGTTCCAACTCCATATGCCCATGCAATCTCAAAGATTCCTTCTCTTTCGAGAAATATGCGTATCAAATACAAATAAATTGTCGAAAACTTCAAATCATGTTTCATGTGAATGGGAAATCCGAAATGCATTTGACAACTGACTATGTTAGTATTTTGTCTATATCTTGATAACTTCATGTTGAAATCCAAAAAATGAAAACAATTATCACAAGATTTTCCCAGATCAAATCGATTTCAAAGTCGCATTTATCATGAAGAGATCTTGGTATGTACATTGTATAATTGGCAGCAAAGGACTTCAAGGTCAGGATTTTTGTTTAAGATTACACGCGCGTTGTTGTCGGGGGGTTCGGGATCAGTTCACGAATCTGTTTGGACAGGAGCTCGGAAGGGAGCTTGGGGACAAAGGTGGGAGCGAACGACCAGTTCCCACTCAGACGGTTCATGTCAGGTGCTGCATCAACATCACCATGCATGGGAAGTTCAGACTTAATACCCATGTCAATGCCAGCATCAGTCCATGCTGTCTCGTCCGGCTTTAGTCACTTAATCTGACAAAATAGTTCGAGGATCGCCTCATCAGTTCTCCGTTCGCTTATTAATTGTGTCTGTTCTGGCACATTCCGACATGGAGCCAGATCATATGGAACGTTGACGAGCCAACTTTCAAAGACGTAAAGGCAAATCAGCAACAGATCATTCAGTGATTCATGTGTGACCATGTGCATCTGCATCTTCTTTCCGTCTGGCTGTGTGAGGCAAACAGCAAATTCAACTCCCGGCTTTGCCCGTCCGCCACAACTTCGTCAGTTTCGTCGTCGCTGCGCGTCTGTCGGTGCTGCGATCATAAGCTTGCGGAACCCTTGATGCTTGCTCAGAGCCCAAACTCGTTTTTTTGCGGCGAAATACAGCGAAATTTGCTTGACGGTGTTGCTTTTTAAAGGAAAGTTTAAGGTTTTTCGAATTCAAAAATTCATGCTAAAACTCCATTCTTAATTATAAATCTCTAAAATCGTTTAAATCCAACTTTTCGGGAACGAGACATCCTTTCTTTTCTTGCTGTGTCCCGCCAGTTCTAACTCCATATGCCCATACAATCTCAAAGATTTGGTTTCTTTCGAAAAACATGCGTATAATTTTTCGTAATAGAATAGCACAACTTGCTTTGATTTGATTTGTGGGCGTTATCTATAGCAATCAATGATCATAAATACCTTCCATTTTTGTACCATTTCTTGTAGAATCAAATTCTGTGATCCAGTCTTTTTGAGCACGTCAGTATGTTGGCGTTCCCTCAATAATATCATCGCAGCTTGTCACCCGTACATGAAACTCCGGCACCGATAGGGGCACATGCCGTGAACTTTGCAAAAAATCGACACCTCTTCAGTGTTTGATGCTATTACTAGGCCCAATTCTGGGTCCACGAGACGGCCCCAAAAATGGACGTCGTGTACTGACCCAGCACAAGGCAATCCATTCTGGCGGCCGTCTAGCGGACCCAGAATTGGCTAATTTCGACAGTGTCAAAATCAAAAAAACATGTCTGTCTTTTTGGAAGCTTGCGGCATGTAGTCTCTATCGGGCTGTCTCGTGTACGGTGACAAACCACGATGATATTGTTGAGGGAACGCCAACAAAACTGAAGCTCGCAAAGTAAGACAGCGGAACCAGGTCATAAAAATTGCTCATAACAAACAGAGAAATCCATAATCAACAAGCGTGCATAGGTCCCACATTGCTTATGTAATTATAGTTATAGATTCTAGACAGGGTGGATGACACGGGCCGAGAAAAATCAGACCCGCGCGGTACCCAAATAGGAGCCGGCGGGACTAGTCCGCGAAAAATGGGACCCGGGTACGCCCGGTGGTTGCGCTGTCATTTGCATGTCACGCGCTTTATAATAATATTGCTTTACGGGGAGAAAGACGGGAGACATCTCGATCTGGTGGAATGTAAATGAGTTGAACCCTATGCTAAATTAAGGAGATTTAGAAATAAATTTCTCGGTCACATAAAAAGTGCGGACATAAATTCGCTAAATTATACATGCTACCGCGGTCTTACTTTACAAGTCGCAAAACCAATACGAAACCGATAGGTCTCCAAGTGCCCCAATATATCAAATTAATTTTTTTATTAATGAAAACCATAGAAACATAAAAATTCAAAAAAGAAAAATTCTACTAAATTCACAAGCATTTTTTTATATATTTATATCATATATTTTAATTTAGCATCAATAATATATCAAATCAATTATTCAAGGAATATATTTTTTTTCAAGAATATTTTATTACTATTATTATTAAAAACTAAAAAAATATTTTAAATTATATATATAGAAAATTCATATTTAGATATAAAATCATAGAAAGCCAACATTCGCTTTAATTTTGAGAATAACGAAATAAGATATTAGAAAACCTATATTTTTTCGAGAGCTACTATCTATTCAGAATCATGATTTAGATTTTAGTAGATATCCATCTAAATTACAGTGTTATCCGAAAAATTAAGTTCAACAAAGTCGACATCTTTTTCATATTAATTTCCATCTAGCTTCAAACACTATACGTGCGGAGCAGTATATTTTTTTAATATATTATTCTTCAATAATTAACTGAAAAAAAGGTTGGAAAATCATAGAATCATTTCATAAATAAAATCTTTAATCGAAATCATATCCTAAGCATGAGAAATTGAGTAATATATATTTATATAATACACAAACTTAAGATGGGAAAATTCTTCGTATATATCGTATAGAACTTCCATTGTCTCTTTTTTTTTTATTCTGGGCAAAAATTACACAATTTTTTGCGCAATTTTCGCTGCTGTCTAAGAACAATTTTTTCACTTGCAATTAAAACACATGTCCTCCTTTTCTTTAAATTCATGCTAACTTGATTAGATCTAAATATCAGAATTCCACAAGATAGACCGTCGCTCGCAAAGCGCGGGCATCGGAAAATCTCCATCCCCCAACGTGACGTATCAGAATTTATGGATTCAAAGACATCCACGACTAGATCAGTATAAGATCATGCCCGGCATAAACGACCAACATAAAAGTCCACGCCATATAGCAGCTCGCAATCACATAGACCCAATATGTAAAATCCATTTTGAGGACAGTTCCAGCAAAATTCCACAAGTTGAGGCCAGTGAATCGAAAAATCACTATATGGGTTACAAGGAATACAGAAGCCTCGATAAAGAAGGCGATGAAGTTGCCAAGAAGCCCATCTTGGTAGTTCATGTCTTTAAAGACGTGAAAGAACTTCCGATTGTGTATAAGTGCTGGCACATGAAGCAACAATATAGATCAGCGGCACCAATAATTAACAAATTTCTACCATGCTAAAGAGAACAAAGAAACGAACCAAATAAATTAAAAGCCGTGCGCCACTCACCGAGATAGTCGACCTCTCAACCGTGTGCTACTGAAGTCCAGAAAAGAAGAATCGCAACCTTTCCGTAATTACGGAAACGTCCGAAAGCCTCTCTACAATCATAGACTTGGCTAATATTTTTCAGGTGCCATAGTAGGACCCTTGGGCGCCATAGTCGAGTTTTCTTCGGTTCTGCCCGATCCTACTTCATCATTGCCAAATAACCAAAGAAGTTAGCTTATAATTTTAATAACAAAAGCTGTTTAAATAAATAGAAATAAATACATAAATCAATAAACAATTAGATAGATAAACAAATAACTAAATAAATACATACATCAATCAATAAACATATCTATATCGATCTATCTATCTATCTATATACCTATATATATATATATGTATGTATGTAATTTGTTTCTTTTTTGGTTGTCTTTTTTGGAATATCCCTAATATTGCTGTTGTTTTACACCGGGGGTCGGAGATGTGGGAGAGGGAGCGAGCAAATCAGGAAACAGACCACGTAGCGATCGGGAGGTCGCCGGGCTCGGGGCCAAGGAACGTGGCACCCCGAGTCCATCACCCGCGGGCTCGGCGGAAGAGTGGAGTTCTATACCGGGCACGTGTCACAATTTAAGAGAAGAGGCAAAAGCTCAGAAGGATGGTGTTGAGCCGGCGCGGCCCACCCAGAAACAGAGCCAGGCGGCTGCAGCCTTAGTTGCTCCGGACGACAGGCCTGTAGCTTTAGTTCCTCCGGAGGGCAGGCCTGCAGCCGTAGTGGCTCCGGAAGACAGGCCGTCTAATTTGCTGGCGCCCCGTCCGGCCAGCAAACAGTCTACCTATTCCACGAAGAGCTCGGTTGTTGCTTCCGACCCAGAGAGTCAGGATCAGGATCGTACGCAGGGCGGCAACGCCTTCACCGTGGCAAGAGTTATGATGAGCACAGGAAACCATTCCTTCGACAGGGTGAAGTTCGCGGAGGCGGTGGAACCTGCGACGCAGCTGTACTTGTTGGACTGCTGCGTTGACGGATCTCCTGCTTTGGTGCGGGCAGGTAAGACCGGATGTGTCCTTGTCGGTTTACTGTTCTTGTTGCCACTGCTGTCGTTTGTGCCCACACTGATTCCATTTCCTGAGCCTTCTGACGGGTTCCTGAGCAACTGGGCTTACAATTTCGTCGCCCATCCCCTACTCAATTATGTGCTAGCACGTGCAACGATGGAGTTGCTGGCCAGGGCTGTTGAGTCCAAAGAAAGACCTCGGCTACGTTGGATGCTTCACTTGGTTCCCCTCGTAGACCCCATTCTGTGCTTATCAATCCACAGCGTGGCAAGCTTCCTGGGCGTTTTTCCATTGCCTTATTCAGCCTTTACAAGTTGCCTTCCGGGCGTCCTCGGAGTCTTGCTGGTTGCCCGAGTCCTCATGCCTGAAGACTTGCTGACTGAAGATGTTCTGCGATTCATGAAGTTCATCGTCTTCATCTGGCTTGTGTGGGCCGTGCAATTCCTTGTGCTGATGATTTGGTTGTTGACATTCCCATTGCTCCCAGATGTACAGCAAGCTCTGTCCAGTTTCGTGGTCACAGGCATGCTCATTTTTTTCGGCTGGGCCATGGAGCTCGTGGGCGCATGGCAGGGAGTGCCGAAGTACCACGTTACCGAATCTTCGTTGGCCTTATTGGCAAAGCTTTATAAACTTGGTGGTTTGTGAGTAATAGTAGTATGGGTAGTAGTAAAAAAGAAGAAGTTTAAACTTTAAACCTTTTGTCCTCCCCATGGCCATTCGGCCAACTGAGGAGTTGAAACCGATGATGTACTTCATCTCATTTCTCTTCACCGCCGCACTTTATTCGTCGGCCAAGGCATGGTGGATCTTTGCGCTCATGGCGGCGCAGGAGGCGGGGAAAGCATTAGCCATTTTGGCCAAGATTGTGCTTTTCCTTACAGGCTACTCCACCGAGGATATGGATGATTATGCTGAGGAGAGCAGCAGCCGCTTTAGCAGGGTGCCCAGCCAGACTTGGAAGTGCAAGCTCTGCAAGCGCTGCAGCTGTACGCGTCCTCCTTCCCTCGTGGCGCTCCGTCACAAATCGGAGGGTGTAGGGTTTGACATGTAGGGTTTGAGGTTTAGGGCGCCAAGCCAGCTTGCAGTATCAGAAGTCGTAAAAGCTGCACAACTTCGGTCAAGGCAGCTTACTTTTCCCAGCTCTGCTGGCCCTAGGAAGCTGAGGCATTGTAAGCGAAGCTCAGGCAAAGCTCCAAACATGTAACTCATGGCTCCGCGTTTGACCCGTTACAATGCTGAGCCAATGCTGGTCGAGCGCCTTGTTTTCCTGAAAGCAATCACTACTTCACGAAGCCCCTATCGCTCAATAATGGAAAATGGGCCCTGGATGTTACCTGTAGTCATGGCGGGATCTTGCAGTCTGTGGACTCAGGTCATTTGGTGGCTCTCGTCTATACGGCACTGAATCTGACAGTCTCCAGGTTGTTTATCTGGTGTGCGACGGCAGTTGCTGCATTGACAGATTCACATAGCTAGGGATTTTTCTACAGCGTGCTCCCTCATGGTGAAAATTGCTTCCCGTGTTGCAATCCCTGATCGACAGCACTTACTTCCAGCTCGACAACCACATCTCGCTGCTGATAGCTATTTCTTCAACCTCTCAGAACAAGCTTCGACGCACCACTGTGGTGCCTGAAGACACTCAACACGAAACGAGTTGCTTAGGTCGGTAAAGCCTTCTGGCGACATCACAGTCTACGCGGGATCCAGTCGATATTGAAAACCATGGAGCGACAGCTCGGGAATGCAACCATAATGCTCTACTCCCAACTACCGACTGAAACTTTCCGACACCCAGATTAGGCCTGGCCCATAAACCCTCAGGCCGCATCCCAGACCAAAGAATCAGTTCGTACTTCATAATCTTATCACTCTACCTGTTTTGAAAATGATCTTCCAAGCATTTGTGCACCTCTGCCCTGCGGGACTCGAAGAACCGCCGCTGGCAGGATACAGCCTCGAGGCCTCGCCACTTGGTTCTGCAGAGTTCTATTCCAAGAGCTCGTCTGCAATGAGTTCTTGGTCTGACATAGAGAAGTGCCTGGTGGCAGCAACAAAGCGCGGGTTGTCGACGATCAGCTCGCCGTCCCAATTAGGGATCCGACCCCAGGGGCTCCAATTGAAGCAACCCCTTTCCAAGATCTGCCGGACATGTGCCACGTCCACTCCCGCTTCGCCGTGGGCTCCCCGCAAAAACTTGCGAATGCACTGCCTAGCTTGGCTTCTGAAACACCGGAGAATGTTGGAAACAAGCCCTCATATTTTGGACCAACCTCGATAAACGAAGAATGCAAGGTATCACATTGACCTACCTAGTTGCTTGTCCGGAGCATATGGCATGTTGTAAATCACAATCCAGGATCCAAACCTTGCGACGATCTCGGCGTGGATCTCGGGCGAATGCGTGCCAACCACCAAGCGATACACCTTGCTGGCAATGGCCTGGACAGCTTAGGGTTAGGGCTATGAACCTCACTTGACATTGATTCGGAAGGCAGGAGCGTGTGATGGTTGTGATGTGCTTGGGTATACGAATGTCGTGACAGCATGGCATCTGTTTTGAGAGGTTCAAATCTTCATGTATTTCACAATGGCCTCAAGCAGAGCTGGGTCGCTCATGAGATCCTTCTCCGCCCCCTGCACGTCCAGGTCCAGCAGATCAACATGATCCTGACCTTGGGGTATACTTTGTGGCTTCTGAGGACTTATAAGGCACAGCTACAATCCATGCGTAACTCCTTTGATTGACCTTGCACTTCCCTGCTTGGACCTGCCGGCGTATCGGACCTTTCAAAGAAGAGCACTAAGATCCTGGCTCAGGATCCACTTAGCCAAGCCTTCATGCGAAGCCTTGTCACAATCCAAGGAATAACTGAACCTGTTGAGGGCCATCACATTTGACAGTTCTCGACAATATGTCGGGTCAGACTCCACGAAGTGCAGAACGTATGGCCTGCAGGGCAAAATCTACGGGCAAGTCTTGAAATTCGAAACTTTCTCAACATCTGGTAATGTAGGAACCTGACTAAGAAACCATGGCCCTAGAACCCCATTGTGTTAAAGTTCATACTAAGAGGCTTTCGTAATCACATCACAGGGTTCTTCTACTATTGCGAGCATGCTGCAGCAGTACAAGATTCACGATTGAGAGGGTCAAGTCCGCATCGTACCAAGGTTAACAGGAATCTCGTCTTATCTTTGGAATGTGGCGTGTGCGAAGTTTTTCAAGAACTTACTGCCACTTCTCCCTAAAATCCCTTTCTCGCAATGCCCGGCATGGGGTTCAGCATCGCCAGTGCTGCAGCAGCACGTGCCCCCCAAGTCCCCCAGCGAGCGCCCAGTTCTGCCATCACGTAAGAACCCCGCGCTCGCAGGATCTTAGAAGGGGCTGCGAGATTCAAGGGGTTCGGAAAAAAAACGCGCAGATGCTTTGCTTAAGGGTCCCAGCAACGAAGACGCTACGATTTAGGATGCAACAGAAAACATTATGTTCTGAAAACTTCCGTCATTCTACGGGTTTTCTGACATGTAAAGAGTTCCCCAGCTCCTGCCTTGAAGCTCAGGAAGCATTAGGCTTCCGGGATATAGGGAGGTTTGGATTCAAGGGTATTTTTTGTGTTTTAGGGGATCTCTACGGAAAAGGTCTAAGGCAAATTGCACCATCTTTCTGTCGCCTTGCAACTGTTAGTTCGTGCGCTGGGCTTGATGCGATGTTGCCGTCCGTGCTAGGCATCAGCATTCGCTATCACTGAAATGCCCAGGCACAGCTTGATAAACTGCCACGTACTCGCTATACTCTTCGTCGATGATAGGCAAGGACGGTTCCATATAAGGCATCCCGCCATGCACGTAGGCCTGGGGGCACTTCTCTTCCAGATTTCTTACTTCCGATTCGAGCGTCTCCCATATCATCTAGAAGAAGCCTCGTGAACATGTAACGCGAGCCAGGTTGTGCTGCGGAAGTGCCTCGTGCAAATAACAGTTCGTCCACCTGCCAGGCGATGCGTAGAAGTAGTTCATGCATCCATATTCCTCGGTGTGCTGACACTTCTTCGGCAAAATGGGCAAGAGAGTCAGTGACTAAATGAAGCTTCATGACAAGTCTTCTACAGATACCACAAGAAACCCCAAGCCAATATAATATAATAAAATACAATATGATATACTACAATATACTATAATATAGTATAATATAATAGAATAGAATATAATAATAATAGAATATGAATCCCAAGCCCAAGGAACGTTCCAGTGGGCCGAACGGTTCCGGTCACAGTCCAGATGAATTGGAACTCGCAGGCCGCCCAGCTCCACCAGGAAGTCTTCGCTGACTGGGTAGGAGACGCTGGGGAACCTGAATTCTCAGGTTTAGGGTTTAGGGCTGCATTAAAAACACAGGCAAGCCCGGGCCTGCATTAGGAAGAGAGGCTCAGCAGCTCTTGAGCTCAAGCGTACCAATGAAGTCGAAAGGCTGCATGAACACAGGGTGATGCGGGTAGGATAAGCCCTCCAGGAAGTTCACCGCACGGAGGGCACTCGCCATGACACCCCATCGCTCGCAGCAAGTGTACTCGGAGTGGGTGCGTGTGAATCTGTGAAGTGACAGTTGCCGCGGAGGCTTGCTACTGAGTGCCAGAACAGCTGGCTAGTTCCTCACAATGCAAACATGCTTGACCAGCATTTGGCAATGAACCGTAACCGCATGTCCTCAGCAGAATTAGCGACAAAGGCAGCCGCGACAGTAAGAGAATTGGTAAGCTCTTCTTTTGGATGACTCGTCGCACGGAGGGCAGAACGAATAACTTCGACTAGCATCGGCAACTTACTCAAGGACATTCAGAAATTTCGATGTGGCCGTCAAAGGTGGAAACGTACGACGAGGGTACACTGGACAAGGCTATTGGCTTCCAAAGCTGCTGCTGCACACTTTCTTGCTTCATAGTGGTGGCAGTGGAAGTAGCAGTAGCAGTTGCAGTAGC